GATGGCGGGCCGCAAATGGGCCCCAGGCCGTAGTTTGGACATGTTTACTGTACGCTCACACATTTCCAATACTGATAGAAAAAAAATATGAATCGTTTGCACTTAGCACCCAAGATAAATGAAAGACAATATGCGCTGTCTATTTCAAATCTCCGTCTGGGCAAACGGTAATTTGCAGCTGGGACGCATCAGGCTATAAACTGATACCTGGGATGAGTGACACAAATAATGATGGAGTCATACGGGCTCTGATTCATTGATTAATCGACAAAGTTATCGAGAGACTAATCAATCAGTAAAAAAAAGTGTCAGTTGCGACCCTAGTCTGAGCTTGGACTATTTTATATTGCTGGGTCTTTGTTCATTCAGCCTTGCGTGGATTCGGCGATACCTAAAGAATAGGATCGCTAAAATGTCCACAAATTCAACCCTGCTGTCTCTCAGAGATGAGTATCAGTGCCACTTCCCATCTTCACTAAATCAGTCATAGTCTCATCACGACTCAGCTCTCCGTCCGTCTCTTTTCCCCCTGCAGAGCACACAAAGTGGGGGGGAGGGGGGGCATCACTGCACGTCTTTAATGTGCCTGCGTTGAGCAACTCAAGCTCCCGTCTTGATAAGACCGAGCATTTATTTCTCTGCGGCAAACACGACCTCTCCAGATATACCACATTGCTACATTTTCCTTTGCAATAAAGAAAAGGACAGAAAATACAATTCCAGCAAGCCTCTTCACAACCAACTCTGGCCAAATGTCTCTGACAACTTGCTCTGTTTAGTTTTCAACAAAAATAGCAGTCTGCTGTTGAACTCTTCCTCTACGACAGAAGTTTCACAGCTTTGGCTCCGTCGGACCCATTGCAAGTACTTTTCCCCTGAATCTTATTGCTGAGAGTCCATCTTCCAAACATATTTAATATGCTTGGCGTGATGGGCGAGAGAGTCTTTGCGTGACCTGTGGCCCTTAGATATTTCTCTCTGCGCATATTGCCTTGACCCTTGCTTATACATGTCAAAGAATGAAACTCCTCCCAAAGCGTAAGCATCGCATCAGAACTTCTTTTCGCAATCTGGAGTTATCAGAAACACGGGAGAGGGGGTGAGGGGGGTACTTTTGAGTCCTGCGGTAAGAGTGGCGCTGACACATTGCAGCACAAATGTAGTCAAGGGTGAAACATTTCTTATGCTTGCTTCTACTGTTTGGAGTCCACATGACATTTATGCAGTTCGTTAAACTCTTATTGTCAGAAACAGCAATGCTTAACACAAGGTGGTTGTTGTTGTTTTGTTTTTTTTTTTGTCTTCTCTGACACGTTACTTTTTGAATGAGTTTGTTGGAATATGCCGTTTTCACATGCTGCGGTTAGTTCAAATAAAATCGCCGTGAATTTCCTGCTCTGATCGATAGCGTGGCTGGGATGTTGAGGTCTTCACTTCTGGTGGGCAACCAGACCCACATCAAAATCTGTTTAACCTCATTACCGCAGTTGTGGTTCGAGCTCCAGATGACAATTAGTATGAGTGAGGCCTGTTTCCCGCAGCAGCATTTCTGCAATTCGATTCCCGTTACATCGTGAAATGGGAGGAATAACAGGTAATAAAGTGTAGTACTGCATACTGAGAGGTGTTTGGTCAACGACAATTCTAAGAGTTACCCAAAAATCTCCTCGGTAGACACTGTCACGGTACGTCATCACCACAACAATTTCACAGTGTCAATCAAAAGCAGACGACTTATTATTTTTTTTTTTTTAAATGGAGATTTTGTCGTGTCGCTCTTCTTTGGGATCTCATTCAATTGTGCCCAATGTTGTGGCTGGTGAGTGTACATTGTGTCACTTGCGGGTCTCGCAACAGTTCTCAATGTAGCAGCTTTCTGTGATGGAGAGGAAATAAAATTCCGCCCCAATCCTCGAGAACATAAAAGAAAAGGAGAAGTCTCTGGAGAAGAAATTCAAAGAGTGAGCGCTCCTCCTGATACAGCAAACTGTACAACGCGAGCAAAAAAAAAAAAAAATGAATAGCATCTCGGCAACAATTGCTAGAAATACAAATGTAATAGGATTAAAATTCTACATGAGGATTATAGTTTGGATGTCATGCGAATATTGTCAGTCCAGCAGAATAAATGTAATACAATACAAGTCCAAGTAATTCCAGAGAAACACACGCAATACAACAAGCTAGCACACGCAATCGCAGAAGCTAACACACTCAATAAAAGCAGATACATTCAAACGCCAAGCACTTAAATATGTATTTAGTTCTAGTTTTATTAGTATTTAGTCCCTAGTTCATTTTGAAGTATTCTTCATAGTGGGACAGACCCTCGAAGCCTTCTCGTATGATCACATGTGATCACAAAAATGAAGAACAGCAGAATGTCCCCAATTTGTGCTCAATTTTACTGAATGGTGAGTGTTTTGAAATGCCCAAAAACAAAACAAAAACTTGGAAAGTTCTTCTTGCCACCTGGGTGAGACGATTTTATACAAAACACAACATCGAGTAAGACATGTTTGTTTTTATATGTGGCCGTTTCCTTCTTCCTCGCCTCAATCAGTTGCCGGACGGATCCACTCGCAGGGCCGTCATAGTTCTTGGTGAGCAGTTCTGTTATTATATATCAATTTGTAACATGAGACATGACGTATCCTTTTGGACTATGGATGATTTTTTTTTAAAGCCAAAAAAATGTTACTCTTGATAAATTACGCTAAAATTTTTTGAGTTGAGTAGGTTTGCAAATTTAAAGTTGATTTCTACCAAACCAATTAGAATATTTACGGTAACTGACAAGTCCAATTTCATTACGTTCTATGGTGACAGTTCAACATTTCTGAAAAGTCCAGAGATGGAAAATTGAAAGAAAATTAATCGTTTTCCAGCAGCACGACGACTCCACTCACTTGATCATTTCTGCTTGGCCATATGTGATTCTGAGTTTGGCGGAGGCTTGTGCTAGAATAAGAACGATGAAAGACACGAGCTAAAGGGGATTCAGCAAATCAAGCTACAAAATGAAGAGCTCAATGTTGATTTGGAAAACACGTTGCGTTATCAAGTGTCCCCTGGGGATGAGTATAATTTAGATTGGAAGAATATATGTGGTGTTTTCTACTCCGGTCGCTGCTCAAAAAAAATCTCAAATCTGAAAACGGAGTGGGGATGGAGGCCTGCGCCGCAGCCGGGAAAGAGTTGTCATTGTGAGTTATCCAGTGGTCGGCCGCAGCGATTGTTCGCTTGGTTGGCCAAATTCCTTGAATCACATTGTGCACAATTGGCAAGTATGCGTTATATCCTTTTGGCAAAGCTTCTTTCCATTCAAGCACTTGGGAATGCACGGGAGTCCATCAATCTGCTGTTCAACATTTTGATTGATTGTGCCGAAACATTAATTAAACCCCAAATAGCCGAACGATGCCTGCTCATATATTTTACATTCTCCATCCTCCATAGTCAATCTTCAGGGGTGGAGAAAATGAGTCAGTCAGCATAGCAAATTAAAAATGTATGGCAAAAGCGGAAACGCAGTAGAAAATCCAACATTTAGCGCTTGGAACTCAACTGCCGGGAAATTATTTTCATTTTCATTTATTTCAACTTGATTTGCGGATTCACTCTCACGTCCAAGCGACTCCTACAACCACGAAACATTTGGATGACATGAAATATTTTTAAGGGGCAGCACAGCTCAGCGGTCGAGTGCTTGACACCCAACCTGAAGGTTGTGGGTTTGATCCTCAACCCCTGTGACCATGCTGAAGTGTCTTTGAGCAAGACACCGAACCCCCAGTTGTGGAAACAGGACCTGAGGCAAAAAAGCGCCATACAAGTGAAAGCCCGTTGCTCATTTCAATGTTAAAATCAAACGTTTTTGCTCAGCAGGGCAACGGCCGCGGAACATTTCTTCGACCGGGTCTTATTTGATGATAATGGTTTCCGAGATTGGCGAGCTGATGAATTTGTGTTCTCTCTTATCATATATATCAGACACAATGGCAACAACATCTGTTCATGATGAGTCCCCATGTTTTCCCCCTCCTGTTTGCTTTTCACCCACTCAAACTCGGTGCTGAGTCCAGATGGAATCAGTCACGGGTGGGCACTCGTTCCAAATATTCAAGTCGAAAGCCCCACGTCTGCCTTGTGCGAATCAAAGACAAACACAATATGGATGCAAGTGGACAAGACACGTGGGAAGAAAACCAAATGAAAACTCTCTTGATGGAGTACGTGGACAGAATAAGCGATGCAAAGCACAGGCAGATGAATGTTGCCCTTTGTCAGTACCTTCGAGAGATGACAGCATTGTTTTATGTTACATTTTCATGCGTTGGACAAAGTGACATGCTCGGTTAGACACAGGATTTCGTGTAGGTGGTTTCCATCAGCCCGTTCTCTGTCACAAAACACGAATGCGGTCATCTCTCAAGAGCACGATCTTGGACAAAAGTGGCCGGAATGAGTTTGCTCCGGCAGTTTGGTCCGGGCTCTCCCTTGGAAACAAGCTCAGTCATCTAAACAAGTCTCAAAGTAGAGTCTCTGCTCTTGCACAATTGGGAGGAGCCAGATAAAATGGCTCGGGCATATGATGAGGATAAATGCTTATGAGACCATGTCACCCGGCTAGCTTGGGAAGGCCTCAGGATCTCCAAAGGATTAGCGAAAGAAAACAGATGGATGGATCACCAACTATTTCACACTCACACTCAGAGCTCAAAAAAATGAGGGGTCTACCCATGCGAGCAACGAGAGCTCACGCTATACAAAGGGAAGCTAAGGCCCGAGTCCAGTTCCAAACCACAACATTTCATGTGCCGCCGTGCTGTCCCTGCGTCAATTAAACTCACCCTTTCCATAACTCTTGTTTTGGATCTCATTTGATTGCTAAATTGCATGCAAGCAGCCAGTAAGTCGTTTTTTTTTACTTTTTCAGACTTCAAGGAGTCAACTAAAAATCATGCTGTCTTTCTGTGCTCTCGTTTGGCCTGCGGCAGGTGATTGACATCAGAGAGAAACTGAAGGTGTCCAAAGGGTTCTGGTCCAACCTGCCAGATGATATCTGCGCCGATGGCAAATTGGCAGAGTCTGACGAAGAGCAGTGTTGGAATAGTCACACCAAGGCCAGGTGAGGACTTTTGGTGACGCTTTTCCAAACGGCACAAATGCGGGTCCGCTCTTTGGTGATCGTACTCTGCTCGGGATGAAAATAACAACGCCGTGTTACGAGACGAACTCTCACTCTCAAAGTACAATAATTAGTGCCGATAAGCAGAAACGCAAGATTCGAATGCCCACAGGGATCCGAACTTCAGTTCTTACCACTGCGGTGTGAAGATCACTGAGCTGTACAGAGGATCGGATTGGCCGCTTCCTTTGACAGCAAACCAGAGAGACAGGCTGAATATTTTACCACAGCCGTCCCCTTTGCCCACCGCAAATAACAAAATCACAGATGGTGCAATCAAAGATGTTCATTCTCTTGCTTCTGCCAGCACTGTTATTAGAGGCCAATCTAAATCCGGAAAGGGAATCAATTGCTTTGCGACCGTAAAACGCCATGAACAGTCAAGACGGTATAATAAAATCGTCTCCTTGAAATTTTGCTTCAACGCTAACAAGGTGTGCTTTCCATCAGTGGCAGAGCTACACTTTGATCCTTGGGGGAGGCGTGGGACGGCCAAGGCTATCTCAGGCAAAACAAAAACTAACTTGGAAACGCGTTTCTCAATTATAATAAAAATAGGAAGACAAAAATACATTAAGGTGTAATTTATGTTGTTGTTCTTTAGAAACCACTCATATATCTTTTACCCCCATCTTTTCATTTTGACGCACCTTATGAAAAACAAAACAGTAGCCGACTTAAAGTCAAGATGATCAGATTTCCACTTTCAGCCTATAAAATGTCAAGAAAAATAAACCAATGTTGATGGTGCATTTAAGTTGATCTGCATTTTTCTCTTTTTTTCTTTTTCAAACATCACCAACATTCCTGAGAAAATGCCGATTGACATTTATTATATTTTCTATATGGAGATTGGTGCTGGAATGTGGAAAAAAAATTTACAGGAAAAATCGGAAAATAACCAAAAGTCAAATGATTTGGCCGGACACGTCGAGGGTCCAAGGAAATTTCAGGAGGGGGCAGTGCCCCTTTGGCCCCCCACTTGCTCTGCCAGTGCTTTGCTTTATTTCGCAATAATACAGATTGATCCAAATGAAGATATTTGTTATTTAATTAATCTAGACAGAATCTGCAAAATTAACATTACGTCATAGAACAACACAGTATGTGTGTATTTTACTGAAATTATGTTTTTCTGAAAAATAAGGGCCATATTATATTTATATATTTGGTTATTTATTTATTTAGAAAAACTGAACAATTGAAGCCAGTTGTCAACATAGGATTTCCAGTAACAACCAAAAACAGACCATTTGATGAAATGGACTCACTGAAATGTGTGTTGCTGCGTTTAATTTTCTCTAGATATTTCCCAGAGGTGGTGAAGGAGGGACTAACCAACCAGGTGAACAACCCAGAGGTGAACTTGGACATCACCAGGCCCGACACGTTAATTCGACAACAAATAATGGCCCTGCGTGTCATGAGCAACAAGCTGAAAAATGCATACAATGGAAATGACATCTACTTCCAAGATTCCAGTAAGTGTGGCCAACTGGCTGCGATGACGACATGCAGTATTTGTTTTTGTAGATTCATGAAGAAAAAGGAGTGGGACAAAAAAAAAAAAACGAACACGATGCACATGTACGGTACACGTGATAATCCCATGAGCTATAGGAGCAAAGGAAGATTTCAGCTGATTATCCGGTAGCAACTCATCACGCAACTCGGAGGGATGCATCCGTTTTACAATGAGGCAAGACCGGCATCATTAAGTTAACAGATAGCTGTTGTCATGGTGACACAGAAAATAGAACATGACAAGAAATAGTCAGCAAGCTCAGAGAAGAAACATCATAAAGTGGTTGTCGTTGTTACAGGGATAACAAAAAATACAAACAAGGAGTGTTGGGGACATTTAATGTGACGCTATCACAGCACAGGTGCAGTGTGGACCTCAGAATTGTCTGTCAATCCTTCTTCATAGATTCTGTGACTATTCCAGGATCAGCACCTTTTTTGTTTTCCGTTTTTTTTTTCTTCATTATACTGTCGGGGGAAAAACATTTGTACCTTTTCAGGTCTGATGGTTTGTCACATTTATTGTACATGTGGGGACCCATGCTTATGATATGTGCCGTTTGTAGGCAAATACCGTATGTACTGTACAGTACATGTACATTCGATATATTACGGTACATATTGTACCCTTTATTTGCCCATAAACCTGTTCGGATTTGCCTACAGAAGGCACTGTCTAGACCAGGGTTGGGGCAACATTATAAATGATGAGTCCCCTGTCACACCTGATCAGTTCATCACTCATATCAATTAGTAGCACTTGCACCTGTTCACCTCCATTAGAGGAGAAAATCAAGCTAACGATGACCATGCCAACACACAGAAAAAGGTGAAGCGTTTAGCATGCGTGTACCAAGATGTGCACAATTACATGTACAGATGTACTACGACATTGTGAGCACTTTATCTCGAGGAACAATGGAACTCGCAGTCGCAGTCACCGTTTCGTGGTCACAATGTGCAACTTCAATTTACCATGACGGTTAAGGCCCGCATTCAATGAACGATGAATCACATAAACAAGCTTCAACGCGAATGATTAAATGATCCCATGACAGAAGAAGTTGAGTAGCACGCCACAATGCTGGGAAACAAAAACTGGCTGAAACGTACCAAACTACACAGACTGCAAGGAGTAGAAGAAATATGTAGACCGCTTATTCATGGTCGGGTCACGGCGATAACAGCTTCAGCAGGGAAGCCCAGACTTCCCTTTCCCCAGCCACTTCTTCCAGCTCTTTCCGGGGGATCCCGAGGCGTTCCCAAGCTAGCCGGGAGACTTTGTCTCTCCGGCGTGTCCTGGGTCGTCCCCGGGGCCTCGTGCCGGTGGGATATGCCCGGAACACCACACCAGGGAGGCGTCCAGGAGGCATCCTAATCTGATGCCCGAGCCACCTCATCTGGATCTTTTCAATGTGGAGGAGAAGCGACTGGAGTCTGAGCCCCTCCCGGCTAACCGAGATTCTCACCTTATCTCTAAGGGAGCTCCCGGACACCCTGCGGAGTAAACTCATTTCGGCCGCTTCTATCCAGGATCTCGTTCTTTCGGTCACTACCCATAGCGCGTGACCATAAGTGAGAGTAGGAACGCAGATCAACCGGTAAATCGAGAGCTTCGCCTTTACCTTTGGCCTCAGCTCCTTCTTCACCACGACAGACCGACACAAAGTGCGCTCCCCTCGCTCATATGGCCAAATAATTTAAGCTCAATATTTGAACTTTTGTCTCGGTGTGACTTGCGTGCCCTGACTTCCTGACCAGCGTAATACATGCCCGATACGCTGCATACCACTACATTAGATCATAGGTTAAGGAGGTCATTAGTAGATTCCGACGGATATTCCGGATAATGTTGTAAAACATTTTGACATGTTGCTCTGCCCCGCCCACACGATCCACAATGTTGTCATCAAATGTTTTGGTGAACCGAGACTTTGTCGTGGGGCACCGGAAATGAAGAGGCTCATTTAGAAAAGTTTTGGCCCACACATTGTTAACGCGTGCTTCCTCCACACAGGCGACGAAGGAAGCAGTTCCGGCAGCGGCAGCGGCTGCTCGGACGGCTGCACGACGGAGACCGTCCTCGTGGGATCCAAGGCTCCTGTGATCAGGGCCGACAGAAGTGACGTCCACACAGCGGCGGCGGCGGCGGGCAAGACGCTTTCCCACGGACCGTCGCAACTATTAATGATGACCGCCCTCATAACATCATTTAGCGCGGCGCAGCCCAGATGGAGATAATACGATGAGCGCGGGTTGCTCACTAACTACGATACTGCCGCGCACAGTCTGTTTCAGCACGTTCAACGGCTGCTCCCTCACCCAGGCCTGTCGAAGCTTCAGGAAAACACCCCGTTGAGACTGGCTGACTGTGTGCAAGGACTGAAACCAGGACAGCGCTGCGTCCTTGTCATCCCCAACAGAAATGCTTGGTGACAAAACTGAAAAAGCTTTTCACCCCTGAACACAAATGGTGGCGGTCACTCATCGTTTTGGAGTGCATTTTCAGTATCATCGCTGGTGACAACTCAACCGGTGACATTCCTGCCGGTTATATTTTCTAGATAATGCAGGAATGTGATTTCATTTCCTTCGTACAACAACTTCGGGACTGGGGTCAGTTGATCGTATTCGACCACCGCCAACCCAGTCCCCCCCCCCCCCCCCCCCCCCCCCCCCCAGCCCCTTTGGATAGAAGAAAAAAAAAAGCTTACTGTGTGCATGCATAGAAATATTATTCATTTCAATGCAGGCTTTGAAATCTTTTGGCTTTAATGATTTGGACAAGATTATACACGAGTCGATCGGACTTTTCAGACATAGGGAATCAGTTTGGCTTCAGGCGACTGCTTTCTTTTCGGCATCTCATCCTTGCACATTTGCTCTCCAAAAGGGGCTGTTGGACTGCACCGAGGGAACCGCTTTGCACAGATCTATTTTGCCGGCCTGTTTGTTTGAACCATACCAGAAACACAAATTAGAATACCTCTTCTTTTTTTTCCAATCAGTTTTGGTATCATGCTAGCTATAATTGTTTCCATTGAAGGTACTGAAATGTCATGTTGTTGGTTGAGTCAAAGACTAATAATTCTAAAATCCTATCCATGAGAGATTACTAACTTGCTTTGATTTTGATTTGTTCTTAGAAGGCTGTACTCCATCTATAAATTCTGACCTCTTTTATAAAAGTTTTTCCCAGTCAGTATTTACTTCAGTCATCAGACCGCAGCTTCCAAATATAAGGCAGAGGTATGGTCTCGGCAGAATCTCCCCAAAGCCATCGATTTGAAACTAAGCTGAGAGCAGAGGTTAGAGCCACGTGCCGGTAATCAAATGACTAAGGTCACTCCGCACTACTCTGTCGATCTCCTACAGACTGTGACCTCAACATGATATAAAAGCTTTTGGGGCACGGCCAGTTTCACGTGCCAACATGTAATTTATGTGACCTTGGTTCACGAAAAGCCAAGTTGCAGACATGTTGCAAGAGAGACCAATAAAAGGGGGCAAATGTTCACGGTATCAGGGCGGTGCAGAGTCACAAGGATGCAGTGTGTCTCAAGATAAAAACCTGACAAGTGAGTCTCTTTTCCTAAAGCCTTCCTGTCGAGCAAATTAACAGCTGCGGTGAGCATCTCAAACAGATTACACGTTCCATGTAGCGGGTACGGAACATTACTCCTCTCCTCGCTGCTCTCCAGAAGGAGATGAAGCACTTTTCCCTCACGGCCGTTGTCCTTTAAAAGTTCTTAAATACAAAACGACAAGCACAACGGAAATATGGCGCTCCTGCCGTTCCTCTCAAATGAGCAAATAGTTGAGTGGTTATGGATTGAGACAACATTTGACGTGAAATAAAAGTATTTGAATTTGACCATATGGTTTTCCGGAGAGAGTGCAACAAAAAAGCTTGCAGGTCAAGTCAGAATGAGAAGCAAATGAATTCTCTCATCTCTTTCTGTGCAGAAAGTGTATTAGCAGGAGGCGACCAGCAGATTCCAGGCAAACTCACCATGGTGCAATTGAATCAGGGACAAGACTCCCCAGTGTGAAACAGAGAGCCATACAGAAATAGATGAGCAGCACATTGCGTAGTTAGGGACATGGAGCTCAAACTGTTTAGAAGTGCTCATTTCTCAGCAAGTACACCGCTCTCAACCCGACTGCGCTCCCTCCTACGTGCTCAAGTCAGGAGGTGAACAGCATTTTGGACCAACTGGAGACGCTTGAGGGTCGACTGGTTGACTCCAAAATGAAATACATTACAATAATCCACCAGAGATGTTAGAAAGGCATTTTAGCACTTCGAAACGTAATGTTTCTAAGTGCTTTTATGAAAGGAGAGGCTTTTGTTTAGCAGGCGGCCTAAAAATGTGTTTGTTTGTTTTTAAAGCTGGATTTAATGGCACCACCAATTAAAAAAATCACTGTCTAATTTGAAACCCAGATTCTAGACTGCTAACATTAGATGATAAGATGCCAGTGGACCCGGGTCAACAGGGGGAGATATACAAGGGCCACTGGGGACCATAATTCATTTGGAAGGTTGAGGTTCAAGAGGTTTCGTGCCATCCAGGCTTTAATTTCCTACAGACAGGACAAAAGTGGCTTTAAAGAGAAAGGGTCCTTTTTGCTTTGCGGTACATAGATCTGACTGTCATCCACAAAGCAGCAAAAAGAAGTATCATGCTTTCTCAATATAGTACAAAGGAATGAAAACAGCAGGGGCTCCGAAATTGAACCCTGTGGAACGCTATAACACAGTGGGGCAGAGTGGGACACAGAGCAACCAAGGCTAACACAAAATAATAAATAAATAAATCCTGCCTGCCAAATAGGACCTAAACCACTGCAGGGCGCTCCCACCAATGCCCGCCATGTGTTGTAAACAAGACAACATATACTGTGCCGTTTCAAACACTGCAGTCAGGTCCAACAAACAAGATGCGCACAGTCTCCAGTGTCATTAGCCAGGAGGATGTCATTAAAACCATGCAGCATCATAAACCCTGACTGGAAACCTCGAGTTGAAATGTTCTGACATTTACTTGGAGGATAGACAGTCAGAAAAGGATCTTTTGTCAGCTCGGTGAGAGACTCACGTCAAATGATATCGCCGCAATTTAAATTGGAAATCCTTGAGATTCTATCCATTTGGTGTGTGAATACTGACAGAATATCATTTTCACGAATGTTTTTTGTTTGTCAAAAATAAGGTGAATGACAATGCGGCAAATTATGGGATAGCGTCACATCAAAGCACTTACAGAGTGTGCAATCGGATTGATACGTCGTCATCCTATGCTGCTCACAGCCCCGAGAAGGCATATTTGGATGATGCCTGGTCACTGCAGAGCACAGCATCTCTCGGAATTCACCTCCAGTCTTTTTCTGAGGGAGATGTCATGTTTTTCAGCTTTTCTGCCTTAACAGCTGTGTATGAGCATCTGTGGCTTTGCGAAGGCTGACACGCCTGCACTCTTCCGAGTCCAAACACGATGGTTGCCTGGAAAGAGGGTTTTGGCTGACTGAGAATAAGTAGGTCCTTATTGGTGTCCCTGAAGCGATGTGAAGAAAATCCAAAAAGACTTGTTATATGCAGTAGGTCCAACCCCACCACCCCGTCCCCAAAAAATAAAAGAATAAAAAACAAAATTTGCTCTTCTCCGATTTGTTAAGAGCGGCGTATGCCCTTTTCCTCTGTCTTGCGTAGTCTCTCCTTGACAAGCTATCACAACACTGTCACACATACTGCACCAGTGTCGAAGATACTTCAAAGAGGAATTTCATTTGTCCGGAAAACAACTTCGGTCCCCTTTGCACCCTCTGGCATTTCAAAAGCGAAAAAGAACAGACTCTGTAACTGACAACGGTGGCGAGGAAACGACTTGAGGTTTGCGTGTTTGCGGAATGTTTCAAACAAAATGTTTTTATGCAAGGTCCTTTCCATTTCAATGTACAACGTTTCATGCACTTTTGCTTCGACATATGCTGTGAGCGTGGTACTGTACAGTATGTTTCATTTGCAAAATCGGCTAAGCAAGGAGCACAGCTACCAATGCACAGTGTTTGAAGTGTTTTTGGAACTGAAGTTGTTGATACAGCAGATATGCCTTACCATTTTTTTTTAAATAATTGAATGGATTGCTCATTTGGCTTTTGTTACTTAAAATGACACAAAGTAATATTAAAGAGTTTGTTTTAAAAATGTGATTTTCTCTCTGTTAATTGATGCATAAATGAACATGAAATCTCGATGGGGTCTTTGTGTTCTTGTCACAATTTTGTTAGGAATTGTTCAAAGCACTCAAACAATGACCATGGAAAAAATCCTGCTGGGATAACTCCTACACACCACATACTTACTGTACTGGATAGACTTACCACAAAGACCAAATTATCAAATTAATTATTATCTTAGTGGTTAAGAGTAGGGGCTGAGGGTGTATATTTTTTTTTCCCAACGCAATTCATTTTAGCGGCTAACTTATTCACGTTAATATCTTAAATGAATAAAAGTGTATTACTTTCAAGGAGAACTTAGATAGGGTGATACAGCAGTCGACTGGTTAGCACGTCGGCCTCACAGTGCAGAGGTGCAGGGTTCGATTCCGGCTCCGGTCGTCCTGTGTGGAGTTTTCATGTTGCCTGCGTGGTTTTTCTCCGGGTACTCCGGTTTCCTCCCACATTCCAAAAACATACATGGCAGGCTAATGGAACACTCCAAATTGTCCCTCGGTGTGAGTGTGAGGGCGAATTGTTGTTCGTCTCGGTGTGCCATGCGATTGGCTGGCAACCAGTTCAGGGTGCCCCCCGCCGACTGCCCAAAGACGGCTGGGATAGGCTCCAGCAACCCCCGCCGCCCTTGTGAGGACAAAAGCAAACGCAAAAACGAGAACGTACTAACAGGACAGGCTTTGAGCTTTTATGACTTTCATTTTCTCGACTCAAGTCCTCCCTCGACTCTTTGCTGAAGCAAAGAGAAATCAGGTGTGAAAGGAGGAAGAAAACTGCCGCCTATCATTGGCTGCTTCCATTAGCCGGGGGCACACAAGGTGCAAATTTGTCTTATTTTTCACCGGCTTTTGAGTGAGCACATTAACTTTTGAATCAGCGCCAGTTTCAAGTGTTATTGGCGGGTGTTTATTGGATAGTGCACACAAGGGAACGGCAATCAGCAGCTCTGAATTAATTCTACACCAACCAGGGCACTAATCATTAGGTGTGCATGATGCTTTGTTTTGTTTTGGGGGTTTTTTTTTGGGGGGGGGTTGTTTTCTTGCATGTGTTCACTGACAGTGGACGGTTGAAAGGTGTGATCTGTGAAAAGTGTAAACCCTTCAATTGCTTCCATTTACTCATCGGCGGGTCATTTTAAGGTATTGTAATTGGAGAATATTAAAAAAGCTTTCTAAAACCATGTTTGGCATTCGTGGTGCGGAGAATGTTAATGGTTGAGAATTGAGCCGATTGATGTGCATCAGCTTACATAAGAATCAACGCTATCGACATGGTCGGTAATTGCAAACACAAAATATAAATGAATGACTTCATGTAATTCTGCATTTCTACAAATTGTACCATTCGCGTTGGTGGACGGCTGCTGTTCATTCGTCTGATTTTAACGAAATAAAATGTGTAACAAAACTATGTTGGGAATGATGAAGCGGGTGAGCCAGATGACATAACATCAGATAAAACAGCACAAATAAGGTCAGTGGCAGATGGCACGACTGTTTGCACAGAGTGAATTTTCCCCGTTGAAATATCAGATCAGATTGGGAAAAAGCATGATTAGAAGCTGAGCAAAAAGAACTTCCGTTGAAATTAAACATTTTATAATGTACACCTTCAAGGATACGTTTTGCTTCGAAAGTCAACATCCCTGATTAAGAAGTGCCCTATTTCTGTTTCCCCTGTCCTGCCTTATCTTATTTGCGAGTCTTTCCCGGCTCATTTTGGGCGAGAGGCAGTCTTCTTCCCAAGCTATCGGCCGGCCAATCGCAAGGCACGTCGCAGACAAACAACTTCACAATGTCATGGGCAATTCATTTAAGATATCTTGCATTTTTGGGGAATGTGGAAGGAAAATGGATTACCCCGAGTGAACCCACACAAGCGCAGGCAAAACATGTGAGCTCCGCATTGAGGCGCCGAGCAGGCTGCCAGATTTCAGCCTTTATAAGGCGAATAAAGGAAACATGCTTTGAAATGCCATTTCAATGGGTTGGTTGTAGTTTCTTTATTGAATTGGGTGCTTTTTTTTAATCGTTTCTAAAACTGTTCATCTGCTCACCTTCATAAAAGTACACTGAAATTAGGGCAACAGGATACCAAAAGATCCTTCATTTCAATATACAGTGGCACCTCTACTTACAAAATTAATTGGTTCTGGAAGAAATTTCTTAACAAGAATTTTGTAAGTAGAGACGCATTTTCCATGAATGCCCTAATCTGTTCCAAGTGCCCCTCCCCCAAAATTCAGACATCAATGTTTTCTAAAGCATAAAAATGCATCAAAATATGTAACAAATACATGCTCCAATTAGATAATTGCACAATCAATGAGAGTTAAGAAAACAAAGAATAAAGAATAAAAATGATGGTCATTTAACTTTTAAGTGAGTCCTTGCCGTTTTTTGCCCTCTTTAGTTCATGTTCTCCCTCAGAAGTGCCACTCATGCCTGCGTGGCTTTTCTCCGGGTACTCCGGTTTCCTCCCACATTCCAGAAACATGCGTGGCAGGTTAACGGAACACTACAAATTGTCCCCAGGTGTGATTGTGAGCACGAATGGTAGTTCGTCTCTCTGTGCCCTGCGATTGGCTGGCAACCAGGTCCAGGGTGTCCCCCGCCTACTGCCCGAAGACGGCTGGGATAGGCTCCAGCACGCCCGTCGCGACCCTCGTGATGATAAGGGAATGGACGGATGGACATTGTTTTTGCTTTGAAATCAATTTCCCCAATGCTGCTGCTAACTTCATCAAGTCAAGCACTTACATTCCAATCACAAAACCAAACAGGTAGGCCAGGCGCGTGCGAGCTTCTGTTCCAACATTTGCCGCAAAGACGAGACGAAAGGATCCGTGAAATGGCAAACTCTCAGAGAACATTTCTCGAATTGTCAAAAGCCACCGCTCGAGTCAAACTGCTGCGATTCATGCAGACAGGTGAAATCAACGCTTCAAGTGTCTTTAGGTAGGATGCCGGGCCACCACGGGCCACCAGAGAAGCTCCACCCTGTCATATATTTGACAAATCTCAAGAACTCTGTTTGGAAGGTTGGAGGGGAGAGGGATCCATCAAGGGCGAGGGGGGGGGGGGGGCCCCCTTCCTAAAAATAATTCCCTTTGGTTGGTGTTTTGAAGAGTGCTGTCAAACTCGGCAAGAATCTCCCAGAGGTGTCCAATTGGGTCGGGAGCCGACGACGGCAAAGGCCGTACGTAGCATTTGCGTTACGTCATCTTGAAGCGCATCAAGTGATTCTTCAAACCGGGCTCGGTGTCACATGTCGCCAGCTGACGCAGAAACAGAAATCTTTCAGCCACCGAGATCAAAAGACAAAAAGCTACGTGCAATTCCACATCCATGGCATCGATGTGGCTCCTCCAAACAGCCATTTATGACGTATAGCCGGCATCAATGGGGACAGCGCGACAACAGCTCCACGTCTGAGACAGAATTATTCACGATAAGCTCTCTTTCCGTATGTACAATTATTTATATGCTTCAATGATGGATAACGTGGTGAGAAGCGGGGCGAACTCTCGATGTGACATGGAAAGTGGATTTTTTTTTTTTTTTGACAATTTGATGTGGCTCTGGGCTAAGACTTGTGATTCGAAGAAGAAATAATGAGGCTTGTATTGTGATCCAGTTAAAATAGTGCAGCCATCTCCGGTTAGCTGTCATAACTTACAAAGGAATTCATTTGTCAAATTGAAATATTTGTTCATGCACGTATCGGTGCATTTGGACCGTTTTTTGACCTTTTTAGAGTGCTTATGGGTATTTTTGATGAGCTAAGCTTAAAATTGAATGTTGGGACATTGGATAACATTGGACATGAAATGAAACTGAATGGGGCGGCACTTGTTAGCACATTTGCTCGGGGGTTTGGTCCAGGGCTCAACAGAAACAGCAGACGTTGGTTGATTTGACAATTTTACTGTTTACTTTTTACATAAAACCGTTCATACAATTCACCGAGGACATCTTTCTTCAATTGCATAAACTCTTCGGGAACAATTTCATTGAAGCTTCTCCACACCATTTCTCTAGTCAGCGTCGATGGTTTTGACGTGCCTTCTCAAGTATTGGCGTAGAGTCACTGACAGATTTTGAATTCCTAATTTAATGCAATAACGAATGTTCAGCCAGTGAATGTTTTGGAATGCAAATTAATGCATTGGATTGAGTAGATACGACTGAAAAAAAAATAACGTTCGATGTAAGTTTCACTGGACTGACTGAAATAATTTGACTGACTATCAACATCTCTTGCTGCAGATAAAGCAACGCCTTCAGAAGGCAACTGCACAATGCTGTTTGACAAATTGTCTTTTGAAAAATATTCAGAGGTTCTCGTAGCATCCACTGTTGAAAAGTGTCAGTAAATGACTACAGGACAGTGTCACAGTTCAAAAAAAAAATTAAAAAAAAGATAGGAATTGAGAACTGTGACATCCAATATGTGCCAAACGTGGCAAAACGACTTCTTTTAGTTGCCCTTCAAAATAACTTGAGATGCATTTCAAAAGTAGGGTAGTGACTGTCAGTATCGCATTCCGAGGACAATGTTAATAGATTCTCTGGTGACACATTTCATTCAGACAGTCGTTGTAATTGCTTATTACGTGACAAAGTAATAGTGTTGGGGCTTTGGAGACATAAAAAGTCCCTTGGAAATAGAGAACTTTGAAATTAAACCTTGCTTTTCAATTTTCGCTCCCATAAGAGCTGAGCAATTAAATGGATTTAACCCCGCACGGGGTAATAAAGCATAAATACGTTTCCGAGGAACCAGGTGTCGCCGATTCTTTTTGACAGACTTCAACTGAAACCACTCTTGTGTTCTACTTTATGCTGATCACGTGTGATCAGATACAGATGTTTTTCTCCGACGGTGAGTACGACACGTTTGGTGAATGACTTGAGTTGGCTAACTCCTCTGGGACCGCTGACAACAAGCCACATTTCTCACACTTTATA